GGGAAGACAAGCAGAATGGATCGGCAGCTGTTGAGCAGGCAAATCCTGCAACAAGAACACCGAACATGGGAAATTCATAAGTCTCAGAGTGAATTGGAGAGGGAAACGTCTGAAAAACATAGGGCATTCACAGGGGCATCAGAGCTGGTGCCGAAGATGCGACCAAAGCAGCACCAATAATTTCATATCGTGATTTTCCAAGCAATAAACATGGGCTATTTGGGCCGAATTTTCAAACAAAAACAGTCCCTATGGGACGACCCCCCCCCCCCCCCCCCCTCATCATCGCACCAATGCCGAATATCTTCCCACACCCTTGATTCATAAGGCATTTTCAAGGTGCGCAGACCCAAAACCATAACATTACCGCAGGTTTTTGGACGGACGTGTTTAAAAGCAGTGTCACAGTTGGAAGGTGATCACACTCAGCAGCTGAGATGAGCATGCAACAGTTCCAGTGACGTAATTATTTTTTTTAAAGAGTAAATTATCGTGTTCGTTCCCAAAGGGAACTCACGACGGCCGCTAACACCCGGTAAATCCGCCGGCAGATGCAGCGCCTAACGGTGGGGGTAAGGCGAAAAAGTCTCACAACCACTGGCACAAGTGCCGAGGAACCCCATTAGCTGCATCCATGTACCCCTTGTGCCTGACCACAAGTTCCCAGTTGACTGCGAGTAGCAGCACGGCTGGAAAACCCGCTCCCAGGCAGGACTTGAACCAGGTCCCTCGATCTCTATCACGGTCCAAGACTCTCGTGGTGTGCAAGCTCACCGAAACTCCGAGACCACAGGTCGGCGTTGTTGGCTTGTCTCACCAGCGCAGGTTCCGTCCCGGAGCCCAGCCTACTCATCCTATTGTTGTGTTGTCCTGCTACTTCCCTCGCCTCTTCATACGAGCAGGTTTTGCTTCAGTAAAAAAAAAATAATATTTAATTTGTTTTACTTTATTTTTCCTTTACATACTACTGTACATGTATATATTATATGAATAAAATCAATGGTTTACCTGGGTGGCTAATGCCAGTGGTGAATGTTGGTGTGCCACCCTGTGTGAAGGTACAGTTGGGGTCTCCAAGCTCTGCTCCGTTAGCAACGCCATCACCGTCACTGTCCGCCATGCAGATCGCATCGGACCACATTCTTCCCAAGCTATTGAAGGCCTTGCCAAAAGGGTTTCCTGTCAACAATCATGACGATAATGACGACGACGATGAAGACAACAACAGCGACAACATCAGCAATAACTGCAGAGTCCTCGCGGAAGCAATTTTGCTGGAGCACAGTGAAGGAAAACTGAGCAGTAAGGTTCTCAATTATCATTGGTAAGTGTGAGGAGAAACTGTGCACCATTCTGGGCAAGGTTTGCTCTACCTTCATACTAGTCTAGCACTTGCAATAGAATGGTTTCACATCTATCACCTGACAGCCATGTTGGTTCCAACTCCACTCAACCCCTGCATGTATGGGTCACACGATGTCCGTCATGTCAGTTCCACTGTCCACATGCCATGATCACCTTCTGCATAAATTTGGTCACGTGACAAAGGTGTGAAACCACTCTATGTGGGGCACCTGTCCTTGACGTGCAATAGTTTATTTTGGGATTTTTGTAAAAATTAATAATAATGATGTACATTACCTATTTCTAGCCTAGGACTTGCAAGTCCTCTTGGTATTGGTATTGGTATTGATTTATTTGAATTCGGTATCTCAACAGTACATTGTACAAGTACAACTTGGGAAGATCCGAATGACATAGATACATAAACATAAAAGTGGAGTAGGTGCTACAGCTGATCATTTTATCGCAGATTGTGGGACTAAACTAATACCAGTATGCAAGTACACAAGAAATAAAAGCTGAATAAATACGACTGCAAGATCGCTTTACCTTGCGAGCCATGGTGCCTGCACAGCAGGCCACCATCCGTGGCCAAGTTCCTGCTTCTCTTGTTCTGCCCCCCCCCCCCACGCTAACTCCAGATATGGCTTTGGTGCGATGTCTTATCTAGGCGCTGACCAGTAGAACGCACTTCCACCGACTTGCTGCATGTCTAGTCCACCAGCTCAATTTCGCTCATCCATCAAACTAGTGCTATGGTTCCCTGTAAAAAGGCGTCGTCAACGTCTGTTGGGAATTCCCGTAGTAAAAATAGGAATAATTATATCAAGAGTACATAAACCAGAGTGTGCAACTCGGGATGGTTCCTGTGGGAGCGTAATTCGTGCACTACGTCATTTCTGACGGCATGGTAAGCCACAGGTACGGTGAAAAGTTGCGTCACCAGTCGCGGTGGTGCAGTTCACTGAGTTTGTCCTGATTTCGGTTTTTTGAGACGGATAGCCTGGTGACTTTACTTGTCGGTGGATGTACGCAGCGTACACAGTCACACAAAACACCGAAATCCTGAAACAGGACGTCTAAAATCAAGCAAACTTGGCTGATTTCCGGGCTATGAAACATGAAAATTTGAGCTGTACGCAAGGCGCGGCTTGGCTGATCTCATCAGGGTGACGTAGTGCACGAACTGCGCTGTTTCAGATCTGATATGCACAGTTGCACACTCTGGTTTATGTACTCTTGATTATATGTAATCTATTGCCGGGTAGTACGACCACCTGAAACACTCGACCGTGTCTGCAGTAAGCCCAGACAGATCCTGCCGGCAATTCTTTCGGCAAAATATCGAAGAATTGAAAGAGCGGAAATTGCCGGCAAAATAGGAAGCAAAATATCGAGATGTTGGGTAAAATCGATGCCTAATACTTGAATTTCCTTGTTTCTTACCCGTTCAGCAGGATACACTGCCCCGGACGAGATCATGTCACCGAAATATCACTGGGATTCACTGTGGATCGACATGATTTTAGAAGAACTCAGAGACACGTGGGTGGAAACCCGTGTTGAGAAACCGACCCTGCGATTTTTATGAAACATTGTACGGGATTGTACAGGAAGTGAATAAAATACACGTTGTTCAGGAGCAAAATGGAGCAGAATATCGAGTTTCTTGTGCCAGACTCGGCAAAATATCGAAGATTTCGCAGCAACATTTTGCGGCAAAATATCGAGACGGGCGGAGCAGAATCTGTCTGGGCCTACAAGTACTAAGTAGTCTGCAGGGCCTGCGTCACGTGACGAGATGCATCACTGATCACTGAGTGATCACAGACAAGGAGTCGTGGGGTATTTATAAAAAAAACATCTGCAGGCTTTCTGACAAAGCTGTATTATGCCCCTAAGCATAATTTTTGTCTAAACCGAAAGATTTTTTATCCGTATATTATGCCGGAGCATAATTTTTTGACGAGATCCCAAGATTATGCCAAATATTATGCCGGCATAATCCGCCAAGGGCTAGTGATCAGCCAGTTTTGAAAGAGAAAATAACCACTGTATAAATACAAGAGAGAGTTTGGAAGCTTTGTTACAACTCTGAGTTTCACGTATTACTACGATCATCAGGCAACTGATGGATCCAAAACGGGCAGCCAGAACATAAGGGGGAGCAAGGTGGGAAATTCTGAGGGGTGTCATAGACGACGCGTATCATAGCACAAGAAGATTAAGAGTCAGCTGACTCACCCCTCAGAATTTCCCACCTTGCTCCCCCTTATGTGCTGGCTGCCCGTTTTGGATCCATCAGTTGCCTGATGATCGTACTTCGTAGTAGTAATACGTGAAACTCAGAGTGTAACAAAGCTTCCAAACTCTCTCTCTCTCTCTTGTGTACAAGGCTCTGCTCTACATGGGCATTGAGCACTCTTCGGACAGTGAAGCACACCACTTGACTACTGTATAAATACAAATTTTCGTCCACGAAATCTTTCGTTATTTCACTCCACCAGCAGGCTTGTTACGTACTAAATTTTGGTCGAGGTCTGTCACCCGAAACGTTCAGAAAAAAACTTTAGTTTGGTACAAACTTTAGTTATTTCGTGCCCCCAATAGCCTATTAAACGAATATAGCGCAAGTTAATTCCAAACGAAAATTTGTACTTAGACAGTAAAATAATATCGTTGAGGGAATGGAAAACGGAAAACGGGAAAGTCTGAATAAAAAATAGCCTGTTGCCACCAGGACTGGAACCAGTGACCTGCGGCTGCGCTCAAGGCCAGCGATGCTCTAAGTCTACCCACTGAGCTACATGTACATGTATAGTGTAGCTATCATCCAAGCAGAGACCGCTCAACATTTTCTTCAGACTTCGAGACATGTAGTATTGTTCGTACCTCTGCCGGATGGTGGCCCGGTGCAGCTAGCCACGTGTCCCACGGAATCACAGAATCTGTGGCCAGCCAAAGCAACACACGGACATACACAATACGCGCACGTGCGTGCGGGCACAAACGCATGCACACACACACACACACACACGCGCGCGCGCGCGCGCGCACACACAGGGCATACACACGCGCACGCAAAAGGAAGCAAAATGCAGGAGGTGGATGACAGGAACGCGGTGTTGACTAGACAAAGGGAACGTAGAGACGATTGTCCCATACCCTGGTTAGGTGGACGTACATATAACTCGACTAAGCGGAGATCTCCACTGGAACAAGGCATTTCAAGGTCATTGTACACACGAGGGAATGCGAATAGACGAACACAAGTTCGGCCAACACCAAGGACACAAAGAACGCAGGAAGGGTGAATATCAAGATGCCGCTGTCTGATGATCGCTGAAATGCGTAGACGTTAGTTACATCCGCACAGCCCAGGCTTTCGCCTCAGTTGTATGTGCATGCTGCTCTGCATATTACGGTAATTTTGACTTTGTGCATTGAGGGCTCTGCTTCGAGCTGCCTCGACCGGCCTTGTGTAGGTTTTCCTACGTATCCCCGAGGCAAAGTATTGCTACTTTTGCTGTTTATTTCTGTACGACGTCATTACTGTTCCTTTAGACCGCTGCCATGATGGGATGCTGCACTTGCTACAATCGACAACTGGTGTGAACTTCGACAATTAGGGCTTGAAAGTGCTACGTCACAGCATAGCAACAATTTCAAAAATTAAAAAATTGGATCCACTTGGATCCAGTTTTTGTGTGGATCCAAGCACATTTCAAGCGGTCTTACTCTCAGCAAGGTGATGTAACCAGTGAAACTGACTGATTTGGCTACTGGGGGCGGGGTTACAACAGGTGGCGAAATAAAAGTCACACCTGCATGCGACATGAGTGGGTTGCTATGCACCCACATACTTAGGCAATGGCAAAGTCACACCTTAGTGGATCCAAAAATAGAAATCTGATGTCAACTTACTACTCCCTGGCCGTTTTGACGTCATCACTTTCAAGCCCTATAGGGATCCACGGCCCATAAAGATTTTATTTATTTATTTATTTATTTATTTATTGCATCATCATCTCGTGGCAAGCAATGCCAATATTGAATGAGAGAGGGGTGATAGCCAAAGATGTAGCGGATCGACGATAGGGACATTGATACGGGCATTAGTCCGCGGCCCATTAAAATGTAGCGGATCAACGTTTCCAAACTTTCCATGCTGACCGTACACAAATCTGTCCCTGACTGAGCTACTCCCGATGTTGCTAATGTCACATACACGAGTTCCACGACCGGATGGAGGTGTTACCCAAGGCGAATGCCTTCATCACATTGAAGGACCACAAGCCACAAAGACAATTCCCGCTGAAACCTACGATGTACTTCTTTCGCCGGTTCTATCTCCCATCTTGGTTGTAGCAATATACCTCAGCCATGACACTTACACTCCTATTACTCACAGTAGATTCCAGCGCTGGTGTTATCTCATAATTATCATGGCTGTAGCTGCCCTAGCCCGCCTACAGTCTACATTACAATTACCCTATATACATATTCATGGGGTTTTTTTTAAGTGAGGCACGCGTTTTTCGGGCTCTCCTTTCTTTCACCTTTTTTTGCAGCCCAGCCGGCATCAGGCCGGACTGGAAGTAGACTAGATCAGTGGTTAGAAGTAGAGTAGTGTCGGAAACTTTTCATGCCCGGAGCTACCACGAGAACTAACTCTCGTGTATCAGCCTTGACTGAATCTGAGAAGAAAATGTTGGGCTCCCTGCCTAGTATCGAGTCGGATGTATTGGCAGTGCTAAAAGGTCTGGTTGCACTTGTCTCTGAGGCCGCCGATCGCGAGGATCACCTAAACAATAGGTTCGATGAGCTATCCAGACAAGTATCTGAGCTGAAGGAGGAGGTAGCTTCTCTCAAAGAATCCGCCCTTGCCATGGCGAAAGCTCCTCAGCCATGCCAGCCAGGATGTACTACGAACCGTGACTGTACCCGTACTGACCCCCGCACAGCCTGCCAGTGTAGCATGAGTTCGAGTACGAGTAGATCTACCAGCGCGCTGAACCAAGGTCCAGCATCCGATGCGCCCCGTACTGAATTTGAAAATGATGTTCGCCCAGCAGCCAGTCCTGGCCACAATGTGGACAGCGTGAGCGAGAGTGACGCGAATGACGGTTTTCAGCAGCCACGGAGACGAAAGCGCAACAAGAGCACAATTAAAGGTTTTGAAGCCCATCTCCGACAATGCATTGAAACTAATTGCAGATGAGCCCCACAGAGCGAAGAGAGCTGTCGTGTATGTTGGTAATCTCAGCAGGGAGACAACTGAAGACCGGTTACGCGAATTTGTTGATTTGTGTAGCAGGGCCGTCAACTCCGACACACCAGTAGTGCTCCACACCTGTAGCATGCATGTCAATGCTAGCGGCTGCATGTCTGCAAGAGCGTTTGTGGATGCCAGCTCCCTGCATATCCTGCTGGCTGCCGACTTCTGTCCGGGTAGGCACTGCATTATCAACCCATATGTCGCTCACCGCTGGTGTGCCACAAGGCTCCCACCTAGGCCCTCTATTATTCAATCTTTCCATCAACTCCCTTCCCAGCATTCCCCAATCCAGCGATCTGACTCTGTTTGTGGATGATTCCAACATGGTCTGCGTTTCTCCGCCTACTGGCGTACCCGCCGCGCACACTGCCTCCCTGCAACTAGACCTTGATAGATGTGTGAACTGGTCCCATAAAGCTGAAGCAGTTTTCAATGCCAACAAATGTGTCCATGTTGCCTTTTGCAGACCTAAATCAAACCCACCTGATCCCAGGACCGTCACCATGGCCGGTACGTTACTGACCCAGCCCTCTTCCCCCCGCATCTGGGCATCATCCTCACTCCTTCACTCAATCTGTCCCCCCATATTCAACACATTACAAGCAAATTTCGAGGTCGAGTTTTTCTTTTAAACCACATGTCCAACTTCCTTCCTTTTCCTGCTGTGAATCTTTTGTATAAATGTTATGTTCGTCCCCTCCTTGAATATTCTGTTCCCGTTTGGATGTTTTCCGTTTCAGCCACCATGTCCACAACCCTTGATAAACTGCAGTGCAGGCTACTGCTGCTAGAGCATACTTTAAAAATAGTAAACTCAAGCGTCGGCCTGACTGCCTGACTGCCTGACTGCCTGACTGCCTGACTGCCTGACTGCCTGACTGCCTGACTGCCTGACTGCCTGACTGCCTGACTGCCTGACTGCCTGACTGCCTGACTGCCTGACTGCCTGACTGCCTGACTGCCTGACTGCCTGACTGCCTGACTGCCTGACTGCCTGACTGCCTGACTGCCTGACTGCCTGACTGCCTGACTGCCTGACTGCCTGACTGCCTGACTGCCTGACTGCCTGACTGCCTGACTGCCTGACTGCCTGACTGCCTGACTGCCTGACTGCCTGACTGCCTGACTGCCTGACTGCCTGACTGCCTGACTGCCTGACTGCCTGACTGCCTGACTGCCTGACTGCCTGACTGCCTGACTGCCTGACTGCCTGACTGCCTGACTGCCTGACTGCCTGACTGCCTGACTGCCTGACTGCCTGACTGCCTGACTGCCTGACTGCCTGACTGCCTGACTGCCTGACTGCCTGACTGCCTGACTGCCTGACTGCCTGACTGCCTGACTGCCTGACTGCCTGACTGCCTGACTGCCTGACTGCCTGACTGCCTGACTGCCTGACTGCCTGACTGCCTGACTGCCTGACTGCCTGACTGCCTGACTGCCTGACTGCCTGACTGCCTGACTGCCTGACTGCCTGACTGCCTGACTGCCTGACTGCCTGACTGCCTGACTGCCTGACTGCCTGACTGCCTGACTGCCTGACTGCCTGACTGCCTGACTGCCTGACTGCCTGACTGCCTGACTGCCTGACTGCCTGACTGCCTGACTGCCTGACTGCCTGACTGCCTGACTGCCTGACTGCCTGACTGCCTGACTGCCTGACTGCCTGACTGCCTGACTGCCTGACTGCCTGACTGCCTGACTGCCTGACTGCCTGACTGCCTGACTGCCTGACTGCCTGACTGCCTGACTGCCTGACTGCCTGACTGCCTGACTGCCTGACTGCCTGACTGCCTGACTGCCTGACTGCCTGACTGCCTGACTGCCTGACTGCCTGACTGCCTGACTGCCTGACTGCCTGACTGCCTGACTGCCTGACTGCCTGACTGCCTGACTGCCTGACTGCCTGACTGCCTGACTGCCTGACTGCCTGACTGCCTGACTGCCTGACTGCCTGACTGCCTGACTGCCTGACTGCCTGACTGCCTGACTGCCTGACTGCCTGACTGCCTGACTGCCTGACTGCCTGACTGCCTGACTGCCTGACTGCCTGACTGCCTGACTGCCTGACTGCCTGACTGCCTGACTGCCTGACTGCCTGACTGCCTGACTGCCTGACTGCCTGACTGCCTGACTGCCTGACTGCCTGACTGCCTGACTGCCTGACTGCCTGACTGCCTGACTGCCTGACTGCCTGACTGCCTGACTGCCTGACTGCCTGACTGCCTGACTGCCTGACTGCCTGACTGCCTGACTGCCTGACTGCCTGACTGCCTGACTGCCTGACTGCCTGACTGCCTGACTGCCTGACTGCCTGACTGCCTGACTGCCTGACTGCCTGACTGCCTGACTGCCTGACTGCCTGACTGCCTGACTGCCTGACTGCCTGACTGCCTGACTGCCTGACTGCCTGACTGCCTGACTGCCTGACTGCCTGACTGCCTGACTGCCTGACTGCCTGACTGCCTGACTGCCTGACTGCCTGACTGCCTGACTGCCTGACTGCCTGACTGCCTGACTGCCTGACTGCCTGACTGCCTGACTGCCTGACTGCCTGACTGCCTGACTGCCTGACTGCCTGACTGCCTGACTGCCTGACTGCCTGACTGCCTGACTGCCTGACTGCCTGACTGCCTGACTGCCTGACTGCCTGACTGCCTGACTGCCTGA